CATTAGCGTGAATATGAGCTAGATTAAGGCCTATTAGGACTGTGTGAGTCTACACAGTTGTTATAATGCCTCGCGAAAGATGTATACCATTTAAAGGGCTTATGCTTCCTGCTATTGCTGTTAAATCTATTTCCCTCGAATAGATTGATTTGTTATACAATAAATCGCAGAAACGACACTCGGTGTAGAAACATACTCTGAGAATAGACTAGTTGATTGATTGATATTGAACGCTGACCTAAGAGCCACCATGATTTTTCTAGATTGTCCCTAAACACACAAACACGTGTCACATGGCAAAAGTATATTTAGCAACTTGGATTGATGGTACTGCTTTATCAATCTCCACGGAGACATATTTCTTAGTCGTACTGAGAAGCCATGTAGAGACGGAGATGGGATTAGTGGAGAAGGGAACCTATCCTTTTATACCGGTGAAATGGTTTGGTATATAGACTGCATGCAATCCAGCTTATGTTAGGGAGAGCGTTAGATGATGAGAGAGAAAGAAAAAGAGAGAGAGAAAGAAGAAGAAGAGAGAGAGAGAGAGAGAGCGAGAGAGAGCGAGAGAGAGAGAGAGCGAGAGAGAGAGAGAGAGAGAGCGAGAGCGAGAGAGACAAATATGAGGATGTGATGTTTGATGCGGCCCTTGCTATTGGTATGTCTCTGTTCACTTCTAAATCTTCTCCCAGTCAGAAATTATTGATTGAATTAACCCTCGCCTCGCAACACCTGCGATAGCAATGAGAGAGCGGATTCTTGCATTCCTTCTGACATAACTTACCAGCACATAATCGAGTGAATTAACGCTTAATACAATCTCAAGGATGGGTGTTCTATTGCCCTCCTTCCCGTTTCTCCTAGTCTGTCTGCCCGGAATGTTTTCAGATGACTACACTAATGTGTCCCTCCACAAGGCGGGCTACCAAACAAATTTCAAACATTCTCTCGTTGAAAATGAGGGAATATTTATCGATTAGTTCGACCCGACTTTCTAGGTACTTTCGATCTGTCTTCATTGCACGAATCAGGGCAGACAAGCAGAAGTCAGTCAGTCAGCTAGTCTGTATGCCTCAACATTCAGAGAATAAGTTCATATCTAACGTTGATAGCAAACAAAATATATACCATGAACTAAGAGGCTCTAGTTGAAATTATGGATCGAGGTGGCAGGAATAGCACTATTTTTTGAGGGGCATAGCCCCGAAGATAATAGTGCTATTTCTGTCGCCGAGGAATCCATAATTTCACCAGTGGCTTGAAATGCAAAATTTGTTTTATATTTTCAAACCAACCTTCATAAAAAAAATTTAAAAAATAATAATGTTCACTGTCACTGAAGTAGTGTAGAGTGCAATGAGAGCAGCATAGACGACAGTGCCGCGACCGCGACCGATAGCACATTGATCTTGATCGATTGCATATAAATGACGTCATTCATGGTATAGTGCACTATTCCATGGATGACGTCACAGTTAAATCATATAAATGTTATGTTTGGTTACATGATGCTATGTTCACCAATCACTGAACAGGATTTCATTGATCAAAAATATAATAAGGTATTGATTCGGGAGATATTTTCAGCAAGATCACAACTGCTTTTGAAAGATGAACCTAAGGCATTTTCAATAGCACCTATCATTGTGTGAGGATGAGAATGACGTATTTCGTAGGCTAATTATGTATTTTGGGGGATATAATTACAAATGGGTGGTAAACTTGCCGTTGAGTTGAAATCCGAAAATATTTGCGGTCATGTTTTCCTTTAAGAGGTTGTTCGAAAAGTTAGATGAGATCCTCTTTAAACTGTTCAACAAATCCTGCATTGATGTATTTAATTGTGTGGAAAATAAAAGTACGTCACTTTGATGCATTTTGTCATTTGTCATTTTTTTTTTAAATCCTGTATCTATCCCGAAGTGAAGGGGAAGCTAAAACGAGTGCTTCTATAAGCCTTAATCATTGAGCCCTAAATAAAAGCCAATTTTCAATGTGGATATAGAAATGTCAAAACTTTCATGTTTACACTTGAATTAATTCGAAGAATAAATAAGTAACGTATCTAAATCAATTCTGATATTAGATGTCATTAGAATGGTAAGAATTTAAAGAGCATCTACTTTAGCTCACTCTAGCAATTATCTGGAAAATTGTTTTATCTCTGGGCCTAAGTACACATCTGTTTTCCACTATTCTTTTGAAATGTACTTTTAAAGGTTGTTATGATTTCAATACATCTTTCCGTCTAATTAATTCTATGTTATACAAGTTATTTTTTTAATCAAAAAGTACTCTTAAAATGGCTCAGGGTAGACTTTGGAAACTTGCCACAATCCAAATTTAATCGTCAAATGTGACTTCGAGTAGCATCAATCGGAGAACGAATTAAATTTATCAAATTATTTAATGAATTAGATAAAATTGGATAAATAACATGAAAAGGGACTCATTCTAAAAATGTGTGATTTCATCTTCTGACCACTAAATAATATTTGGATGCCAATACCAGAAACACGTGATCAACCATTAAAATATTTATGACCCTGCTAATATTTCTTCATCATATAAATCAATATCAGGTATTTCAACCAATTATCAAAGAACATATGCTAGCAATGGTAATGATTATAGTCATATCACTCCAAATTATACCCAAGTTTAGGAGGAAAAAGGAGAAAAGATTCTGTTATAAACTTCACTGCTAAGCTGTTGTCAGCTTAACTTTTTTTGATTGAAAGCATATTTCCAGACAAAAAATATTTTCATTTCCTATACACAGTAACGCTGTCCTACGAATGCGTGCGCATCATGGGATTTCATTTCAAGCACAGATGGTCTGAATATAATGAAGATGATGACTTCATATCATGATAACCTTCATGCATGACTAAACAACACCAATGTGGAAGGATTGGAGGTAAAGTCAAGACAAGATTAGGTCATGTGTGTCTAAATCAATTGATTGAGATCAATAACATACTTAGCAGCTAAGAGGAGCTCATTAAGGTTATGTCACGTCTGTCATTTTGTTTGATTTTGATGTGACTTTCGTGATTGTCCCGAAGGAATGGATTAAAATGAGGTCATTAGATTCTTTAAGAAATACAATAAATGCTGATTTTAATAAAGGAGCGGAGGTAATGACGTTTCATTCGATAGATCTAATTTCAAAACAGACTAGAGGGGACAGTGTCTTGAATACACTAGATTAATGTGACTGCCGCATGACATTTCGACATGTAAAAAAAGCCAGCTGTTAATCTAAAAAGGAGTCCCCCTAGGATAGCTCGCCACTTGGAATGTCTGTATAATTCCAATGAATAAAGATAAACAAATTGAGCTTAAATGGAGTGGTCTGACAAAACATTTGCAAAACAAATTAGAGGCCCTGCGAAGGACTAGAGGATATATACTACATTATGACCGTCGTAACCTCAAAATTGACATGTACATTCTTCAACCTTTACACGTATCCTCATGGCTTCCGATGTGTTACTAGCCTATTTTCTGGTAAGATTTAGACTTATTTCCTTTCGATTTGTTTCTCCGCTTTCCTGTCTCACTCTTCATCCAGACATATTGATTCGTAAGGCATTAGGAGGATGAAGGAAAAAAAGACATTCATACAGGCAAAAACAAATTTGTAATGACGTAGAAGAAGCATATATAGAGGATCGGTCTTGAACCCAGTGCCTCATACCACCCACGTCCTTTAATGATTCAGAATCCCCCCCCCCAAAAGCCATTATTTCCAGGGTATGTAAGTTATTACGCATATCAAGCATGTCAAGCAGTTTCGTCTTACCTGAGATCAAATACGCATTATGCAATGAAAGATTTTTAAAGGAAAGATGTCTTTTCTTTAATGCTAACTCAGTGAAAACGTTGTAGGTAATTAAGAAAAATATCAGAACATTATCTTAGATAACATTTATAAAGCACTCACATAGTAACATTTAATCCAAGAGGTTCAACAATAATTCATCTTTACTTAAATTGCAGGAGGAAGCACCACACCTACCATGAACGGTGGAAACATAACCAACGTGATGGGTGAAAGCACCACACTCAGCATGATAGGTGAAAGCACCACACGCACCATGATAGGTGGAAGCACCACACACACAATACGGCAGGTGGAGGCACCACATGCACCATGGTAGGTGGAAGCACCACACGCACCATGGTAGGTGAAAGCACGACACGCACCATGGTAGGTGGAAGCACCACACACACCATGGTAGGTTGAAGCACCACACGCACCATGGCAGGTGAAAGCACCACACGCACCATTGCACGTGAAAGCACGACACGCACCATGGCAGGTGAAAGCACTACACGCGCCGTGGTAAATGGAAGCACCACATGCACTATGGCAGGTGAAAGCTCAACACGCACCATGGCAGGTGAAAGCACTACACTCACCATGGCAGGTGAAAGCACCACACGCACCATGTCAGGTGAAAGCACCACACGCACCACGACAGGTGGAAGCACCATACGCACCATGGCAGGTGGAAGCACCACACGCACCATGGCAGTTGGAAGCACCACCCGCACCGTGGCAGGTGCAAGCCCCACACGCACCATGGCAGGTGGAAGCACCACACACACCATGGCAGGTGGAAGCACCACGCGCACCATGGCAGGTGAAAGCACCACGCACACCATGGTAAATGGAATCACCAAACGCACCATGGTAGGTGGAAGCAGCACACGCACCATGGTAAATAGAAGCACCACACGCACCATGGTAAATAGAAGCACCACACGCACCATGGCAGGTGGAAGCACCACACGCACCATGGTAATGGGCAGTACAGCATGCACAATGGCAGGTGGAAGAACCATGTTGTAGTAAACAAACTTTTAGAAATTGCACCATGTTAAGGGGCAGTACAGCACGCACAATGGCAGGTGGAAGAACCATGTTGTAGTGAACAAACTTTAAGAAATTGCAAAGTTCTAATGGGATATAAACGATTAAATTAACTTACCGAATACTTGCTTTCCGTGCTGGAGAGTCCTGACAGAACACACGTGGTAGTGATTACATAACACAGATTAATGTTTGCAAGAATACTCTCAAATGTGACCTTTTCCAATGGTGGAGACAGCACCTTGAAGTAAGAGCTAAAATTGAGTCCATCGGCTGCCAAAGCTGTAGCCATCATCCTCATAATGGTATCACCAAGTTGCTTTATCAACAGCTGTCTGTTGAACATGACATGGAAGGGAAAGGCTGAGGTAAAGGTATCTACCGAAAGTTTGGCGTCTTTTCTCCTGGTTGACATGTTTGTAATGGACTGGACAGGATGTCCTAGTCTGTCCTTATCACAGTTTGGATGGGTTTCATCCAGGAGTGGTTGGATTATGTACACCGAATGGTTCCCAACACGTTCACCCATTTGAACGTCGACGAAAGAATTGAACAAAAGAATGGACGCCATTTTGATCTGTCCCGCCATGCTTTGCGAGATGCATGTGCTCTCTGTGTACATATGAAGTAGAATGTGTCGGTCATCGTCCCTCGTGGAGCAGCGAAACGATGGTGCCTATGGCAACAAAAATAAAAGATCAGAAATGAAAATGAGTGGATTACAATAAATCAAATCAAATCAAAATAAGACCACAGTTAATACATTGTATACAACATTGATACCATGATTAAATTTGAATGGATCAAATTATCCTTAGATATTGCATAAGCGCAGGGATGATTACATGTGACCTTGATATTATTTTTCATTTAGCTAGTTCAATCGAGCTATATACATTTTAGTTTACTATTCAGACTATTTCTTCTATGGTATTTAAAACAAAATAGGAACATACAAATAATATATAATGAGATAATTGCTGAATTAGATCATTTATCCTGTCAATAGGATAACTTTAAAGAGAAAATAGCAAATTCATAGTGGGCGAGAGACCAGTTTATTAAAACTCTGGCAGACCGAACGGGCTTAAGTACAGCAGGGTCATCAGATATAAAAACGTAAATTAACATATGTTCTTGTGACTTTTTTCTCTTGATGTCCTACGTCTGCTTTCTCTTTATTTATGTTTATATTTTCTCAGTTGTTTAGTTAGTTTAGTTTGTCAGCATTTAAATGTATGCATTACTCTTATCTGACGAGTTTGTTCTTTTAGGACATACTCATAAGCTACTCATGAGGGACCTTAAATCCACAAGCCTTGCTTTCAACCAAGGTCACCTCATCTTTCTATTGTAACGCCATATTATGTTAAACTTGTTATATTCATGTCATATTTGTAAAGTGTGTTATGAAAGAAAGATAAATAAAACTTGAACTTGAACTTGAACTACCACGGGGACCTTTGACTTGTACGTCATCTTGAATATTCCCCTTTAAATAACACTACGTTTATACTAAAATGAGAACATAATAGATATTGAATATTTATAGCGAAAAGTTGCGTTTTACGGGAAGGCATTAACTGGTGATCAGTTATAAATGAATAGGTTGTTTTCATTCATCTGCGTTATCACAATATGACATAAATGCGCTAAATTGAGTGATCAAAATATACTATTTATGCCATCACAGTTACGAATTCATCAATTACATAATGAAGACATTGTATAACAATGGGTGTTTATCGGAGTAACATGCATTGAATGATCAAACACACGTCTATACACATGTATGTGTTCAATACAGGCACATATGCCATGATGAATAATTGGGAGCTACACCGACCAAAGCTTGCCATTTAAATGGCATATCAGGGGCAGTCATACCGACACGCTCAAAGCTTTTTATCCTCTCAAAAGGGACCCTTTTCCAACCTAATCAATTCCTAATCAAATTTCATGCTTCACTAGGGCTCATTCTACCCACTGCAGTAAAAATATTTTGACAGAAAAATCGGTTTCTCCCTGCTCCCTCGTATGAAAACATTGCGGGGAAGTCGGCTGCTGAGCTTCCAGAACACGGTTATCAAATCAGCTTATCGAAAAGGAGCAAAATTGACTGGTCGGGAGATTATAATCTTATTCTCATACGTTTTCAATCTTCCCAGCAAATTCGTTCCACAAGTATTTGATTTGATTTTTTTTCGTTACAAAACTAGAATAAATAAGAATTTATAAAAGATCATATCTTGTATTCAGGAATACTGACATTGACATAATTTCTCTTTAAATTTCGCGATAATTCTGTTTCTTTTTTCTGTTATTCGAAATGCATGGAGGAAGGATTTATTTCCATTCCAATCGTTTTTATTAGAATCCTGGATAAAGGCTTCCCCAATGGATTTAAATCAGACAGGCACTAACAGAACACAGTGCAAAGACCTAGTTTGCACTAAGATAAACAGTAACAAGGTAAAAACCTTTTAATTTTGATGCAAATATAGATACATCCTAAAGAAATAGTATTTATTACCGTCAAGTCTGTGAGAAATGCTCTTTCGAACATTTAAAATGTTTTTATAACACAGGTCATAATTTTAAAATAAAAATGGCCTAACGTATAACAAAGTAACAAAATAAAAGTAAATTGGTGTTCTAGTGCAATGAAATGACCACCCAACTTTTTGTTTCGATAATCCCTTTTCTGCATATATGTATATTTGGTTTTAAAATATTAACATTAACAGAAATGAATAAATGACCGATTGATAGACTGACCAACTGAATGAATGGATGACTAAAACGGGTCAAGTTAATTAATGTTAATGCTTATTAATTACAAGCAACATAATGCCTACGAACCTGCCTTGATACAAAATATATCAATCTAGATATCATCTTCAAAGAGAAATTAAAAGGGGCTCGTTCAGATATGCCACTGCATAACCGCGGCAGTTTTCTTTTTAATGACGTAAATCATGTGAAGTGTAATATACTGTATATTTTCGTAACTAACGACTCATAGTAGTGAATACACACAAGTCATTTGTTGCCATTTATTTACAGTTTTAAAAAAACCGTGGCGGCTTTTATTAGCGGCGGTTTACCAGGCCATATCAGAACAAACAAGGCTTAATATATATACTCGTTAATAAATGATATATGGTGATATATACTTGTAGATAAGCAAGCAGAAAAGCTTTGTCTTTAGTACTTTACAAATCACATTAGAATACTAATTGAAGATGAGGGTAAGGGCTAGCCCTACCCAATAGTAAAATGTCTTGTTATCGAACCCGATACCTTCCGGCTCCAATATCAAATTGGCGATTGACAACTGGACATGACATCGTTCTATCAGCATCAACCGGTCCGAATTAAAATCCCACGTGCGAAACTAACATCCTTTGGTGAGACATTAACCTACATTTGTCACTCTTAGACAGTCATAGAAAATGGGTACCTGCTAGTAATACATTTCCTGATTGCTTTTAGCACCCTGTACAGAAGCCATGTAGAATCTAGGGTAATAGCATAAAGCTTTAAACACGCCCTGGGCTTCCCTCCAGACGGATATAAGCGCATGAATATTTAACACCATCGAATCATTACCATTACCATTGATATATATACAATGTATTTCATTTTATCGATTGGAAAAGACGGGATCTTTCCCGTATAATAGAACAATAAAAACTTTCATTTTAAATTCTGATACTAATATTATTTTATTGCTCCCATTATGTCAATTTGTATGTATTTCGTGTCATTTAGATACATAGGAGCTGAGATACGACACAAATTATTGCTTGGAGATTTACATCAAATTAGGATAGCCTGAAGGCTCCTCCAAGGAGAAAGGAAAACAGAAAACAAGCTGTGTATCTCATTCAACATTTCTGATAAATGAAAAAAGTAGGGGGTGAAAACAAAAGATCAAATAGGCTAGATAAGATTCACAGTGTGTGTCAATTTACCGACAGAGCTAAGAAAACTCCATACATTTGCCGACAGAAATAATCAATGTGGTAGTTACACCCACCTTCCTTACACCCTCTTTTAGCCATACCTCAATATGGCTATCATACAATAAACTGCAGGCTGTAGGAACAGTAAATAGACATACAAGTTTACAATGAAAAATGACATTCATGTTTAACTAAATTAGCATTTGAAATAAAGATGAGAAGAAATCTTACCTTGTGATTACTGGTAAGCTTTAATGATGTGATGTGTTGCTGAAGGCCATCAATGTTGCTATAGAATTCGACTAGGGACCCGCCTAAAGCTTGTAGAAATGTGCCATATTGCTCGAAACACAGACAGAAAAACTCCTCTCCGAACCTCTCCATAAATACTGTGTACTCTAAACCTGTTTAGGAAACGTAAAAAATGAAAGTCTAGTTCAATACATGGTTGTAATAAATTGTTGGTATTCATCAGAAAATACTCAACAACTCTTCATGAATATTTATGAGACAAAGGTATAAACGAAGTATATACATATTGTCAACAAAATATATATATGTCAAAGTGTTTTAAATTGGTGATGGGATGTACACCATCGACATTAACTTTGGAAATCGAGGATCAGTTTTACCTGAGAACCATGAGTAAAGATTTCCTTCCTACAGACGACAGTATACTTCTGATCCGTTTGAAGCTCCCTAACGGAAACTCTCTCCGTCTTAAACCGAAGTAAAGACAGGTACCTTTTCGTTTGACCTTGTTTTATATTGTCTGTCATGGGTTGTGCAAGAAACATGTAATTTTGATTATATATTGTGTTCTCCACTTTGATTTAACATGTTTTTTTCCTTCAAAATCAGTCATTGTTATGTCCTTTTTCGTATGTGTAACTGATCGCCAACGTACTGTATCAACCTGAATAAAATGATTTTCATGTTTACAAATACATTCTGACTGATCCCTGAATAAGATATGACCCTTGTAGAAATCAAGATGTAATTTATTTTAATTTCATTTAATTTATTTTAATTTCATTTAATTAATTTTAATTCCATTTAAGATTTGTTTTTGAAGGAGAAATCCTTTGTAACCCAACTTTGAAATAAGTATACCACGTAGCTAGATCTTTCACTAAATGTACTTCTCCCCAATGGCTTTTGGACGATCACAGAAATCAATGGGAGCATATACATCTTGGCATATTCAAGTATATGTTGTTTAAAGAAAGTGATCCTCCTGTGGAAAACTTTTGTAATGCTTGGGTTAATCCGAGGGTGCAGTAAAAACTCTCATTTCCCTTTGTCAATCGACAATCAAGATCCAAATGAAACGTAAGTAATCGGTTCTTGTAAACCTCATTTTCATAAGGGTTTAGGTCGTTTTATCTTGAACACGGGTGCATTTCCTCGACTTGAATTTGAGTAATGAAAAACATTATTTCGGATGGCAATTGGGTGTAGCGCTGAATGGATCAGTAAATAGATTCTGACAATGAACATTGAATGAGAGCTCATTCTATTGACGGATAAATCCCGCGGTGTTTATCAAAACACTTCAACTGCCAATCATAATTTCCACGTGCTTGTTTTCATCAATGAATTCCACTAGATCGTATATCAAGGGGAAGGTTCAACGCTTATGGCACCATTTTGAGGAGGTTTGAAGTGTTTTCCAGTCATACAAACTCTTGAAGGCAATCTCATCATCATCATCAGACTTCAAAGGCTTGTCGCACTGATGCCCCTTCTCTCTCTTTTTCATATTACCCCTCTCTGTTCCTCTGTGCATCATGGCAGACTTTAAAGATATTACTTTTTATAATATGATATGTTAAAATTGTGTAGGTTGATATTAAAATGCAATGATAACACGCTAGTGGTGATCCCTTCTTCTGTGTAAGAGTCTCGAGTCAATTTATTAAAATTATATGTCTAACACTCTCTTGTTTTTTTCATCTAATTTATTTAAAAGAAAATTAATTAAAACAATCTTTTGCGGGGGTGAGCTACTTTAAAATGAATTAAGGCACGTTCATGATTATCCTTTTTTAAAAGTTTAAGAATATTCTTGCATGTTTTTGTTGTGATTCTCTTTATTTTGCACCCTGTTTTTACTCATAAAGATCAAGAAATTGGTGAAATAAGATCATTTTGCAGTTATTAGAACATAATCTCATTTCTTGAACTAGATTCATCGATGGATAAAACGGTTGAACTCGTTCCTCCCACGAAAGGGCACGACAACCGTGCGTCGCCAAGATAACTGATGACGGGATGAAAATTGTTACTGTCGAGAACAGAAGTGACATGCAAACAAGCAAAGGGTCTTTCTTTCTAAAACTGTTGCGGTTATGACAGTGAAGGAGCAGCTGAACAATTATTGCTCCCCGCCTGCCCGCGTGAAATTTCTTGCTCCAGCTTTTTAAACAATTCTGTTTTGATGGGTAGTATGATCGACATATGACAATTGTTTGTCAAATGCCTCCAGGATTTCTGGCGACTAAACGTCATGGGAGAGAAGGAGGCTCGCCATATCGGAAAGTTTAAAGGCTAATTTGACGACTGGTGGATTTTAATGAGTCCTATAACAAAAACAAGTTACCGGGAAAAGGGGGATCAATCAATTTATCAGTTTCTTTGACTTGGTGTACATTATTTCTACCATTTTCATCTTTATTTTAGTATTTCTATTTTTACTCGAAATCCAACCTTTCCAAGTTTTGGTTGCAATATAGAATTAATAATACCTGGTGTATCAAACTGACCGCTTTTTAAATAGAAAACAAAAGAAATGATATAAACATTAAAAAATCACTTTAACACCCACAACCAGGGTCTAATTCTGTTTTGCTCATAAAATTAAAAGCAACAATTATAGTTTAAGCTGTTGATCATTGAGTTTGTAAATCAACCAGGTTTGTATACCTTGTTTTAATAAGTGTAAGCGTGTTAAATTCCGTCAAGTGGCTATAGTATGGTTGTCAGCATGTTCAGATTGGATGTAGATCTTAATGAATATAAACCCTCTTGAGTCACGAAGTCACGTCAAGTGGTGAATGACACCTATACCTTGCACACTTGAAATTACAACCTTTAATATTACGAGTCCTCTATCAAATCACGAACAACGCTTTTATGTAAGAACAAAATGCAGTGCAGATGAGTATACGATCAAATAGCCTATATCTTTAAACATGTTTTCCTTACGATTGGGTTATTTGGTTTTTAAAAAATCTGATAAAATGAATGTGTTTAACGCAAACGGAAACAACAAGATGATATGATCATTTATAGACAAAATCACTTTAACATCCAGAATATACGGTAAGGGAACACTTAATAACTTTCCTCCACACAGGCAAAGGAAATATAAAGCAAGTGTACATATATTTCCTTGTGTATGTCCTTTTCGTTTATAGATACAAAAATACAATTATACAGTAGGTTTGCGGGTGCACCATGTGAGAGAGAGAGAGAGGGTTGAGGAGTCCTGAAAAGGACTCTGACTCGGTAATCTTTCTTGGACTTTCAGGACTCCTCAACCCTCTCTCTCTCTCTTTCACATGGTGCACCCGCAAACATACTGTATATCTACATCACCATGCAAGCCGACACTTACAAGCAGCATCAAAAATACAATTGTAAGTAATGAGTTTTCAGACCAGCATTTACTACCTCCCTTCTTTCAACGTTTATATATTACAATAAGAAGAACATTGACGCATGACTCAGTCTGTGTCACATGACTTACCTAAAATCTTGGCACCTTTGGTACTGACATGAATTAAGAGATCCTCTAGACATGAGTTGGGCCTCGAGTCGTAGTAGTTTGTTAATGACTCGATTGAAAACTTACTGTCCAACCCCTCATTATCCCTAGAAAAGAAAAGAAAACACAAAATATCAATCACTTAGATTCAATCCATTATATTGATAATTATCTAGTATCAGTAATAAAGAATCGTTTTAAAAAGAGAACAAAGTTAGAAACATTAAACACATATACGACCAAGACAACAATCGAAGGAAACTTAGTATTAAGTAAATATATATTTTTACCTTTACATTCATTTTACAGAATGAATAATGAATGAGTTTATTATTTCCATATTAATCGTTGTAAATGTTTAATGAAATGAGACACTGTAATAATTTGTCTAAACTAAAACAAAACCAGTCACATAGTATACAACATAAAATATATGGATATATATATATATATATATATATATATATATATATATATATTAAAGAACAAAACAATTTTTTTTTTTAAATGTGTTCTCTATTAGTGTAAATAATCATACTTTCCAGTCACAACAAGTCCATAACTTTAGTACCATATTCAAGGTACACTACATTTCTTGTAATATGTCAACGAGATTTAAAAACAAACAAAACACATTTGCAAAGCAACGAGACCACATCTTTTGGTATGCATCCTTTTATATTAGGCTTTTATCTCTAATTTTATCAGGAATATATAGAATAGTGAATCAAGACTCTCAAACGTGAAAGCGTGTTCAGCATTTGCGTTGTAATTTTAAAAACAAAGTACCCCTTCTGATTCAGCATCTCCGTATTTAAAATGGTATTCATCATTATCAATCAACCGAGAGAGTTACGGATATTTAGCTTTCCACTAGAGTTTAGTAAGAATGAATGGCAGTAAAGAAAATAAGAAGAGCCAAGAGAAAGAGATTTGGATAGCGGTTACTGGAGAGCAATAACACGTATTATGTACATCATCAACTCTTATGCATGACCTTGCAGAATAAATGATAGGCGCACTCTCGAGTATGCCGCTATAAAGGGCTGCCATTCTTATTCTAAGCGGGAAAAGAAATCGTGAAAAGACAATAAAACAAATCTCATACATAGCAATCTACACAAGCAGTAGAATTCAATCAGTCTAGTCAATACGAAGAGCTGCACAAGAGGGAAATGAATTGTAGACAGTTGAATTGTGTTTGTATTTTTATATTTTCATCCACCAGGCCGACCGTTCAAAACGCGTTCTTTTTGGGGCGGACCGTGGTGTTTAGACACAGATCCGTGTCATATATCGTCTAATCACATTACAAGATACTGCGCCCCGCTACACTCGAATCATCTGACTCCGAACCCGAGACTTATTGCTAATTGAATGCCTTGTTATCATGGTTAAAAAGGCTAAGTGATCCAGGCAACTTCTAACGGTCACTCATATTTGGAGAACATCTAAAATCAAAGCAAGTTGCAATAACAGCTTCTGACACAATTCATACAATCCGTTTGAAATGCAATCACATCTTGCGGCTCTGTCGCTAGCAGCGGGTATCCTTACAGCAGGCATTTTGGATATTCTCATATCGATTACCCTCTTTAGCACGTTACTGAGTCATTGATTCCACTTTCGTCAGAAGAAGAAAACCCCTCATTTTGTAAAAAAGTCACAATCGTCCAAAAGGTAGATGTTGTTTTTCCTCCTTTGCTCCAATAACATTGAAAGCTAAACGTTCAGGCATTGTGTTTTTCTTTTCAAATGCGATATCCACAAAGAAAACAGGAACTGGATATGTACGGTTGTATGGCTATCCTGTTATACGTGGGAGCAATCGTGCAACGAACATTTCCCAATGATGAATATAGAAGGCAAAGTTTTCTTTCATGAATGCAATTGCTTTAATTCAAAACACAAAAAAGGAAACTCGATTACCCTTTTCTGTACTTATCGAAGGTATTATCAATCTAGTACTTTGATTATTTTCACAATGAACATAATGTGCTCCCACTGCGAAAGAAGAAAAGAGTCCTTATAATTAAGATATATAATTACCTTCATTTATATAATTGATTAACGTGCTTTTAATTCATTGCAGTATTAATTTGACTTGGCTGGTCATACCTACAATTGACGTTAGTATTAGCGATTGAATATAATTACTTTTTTCCTGTGAAGAAACAACATATTTCGATTGATTCGCTACGATCCCCTCCCCAACCTCCCCCACACTGTATCTTACACTTCAGATTTACCACAAGTGAAGTTGATTAGTGAATTCTTAAAACGGGTTTTACTTTTTGCGGTTGCCCGAAGCCTCATGTTTTGAATTTCGAAATTTTAGCTGCTGCAACTAAAATCTTACTGAGCGTCAAGCATTACTAGTGAAATGGTATACAAAGCAAAGTATGTAGGTTACGAGAATATATGACTCGACAGGTTACCAACAAATCAACCCAAGATGGCAATCGCCACCCAGTGATAACTCTAAATCTATTATTGATTCACAGCGGCTTTGGCAATGGATATAACCTAAGATCAATCTGTCTGCTCCTCAAAGAGACCTCTACCATCTTCATCGATCTTTATGTCATGTTTCATTGCCAATAAGAAGATTCATTACCAATAGGGAAAATCTGTTCGATTCGGTTCATAGAGAATGAGTCTTGAACGATGAAACCATGACAACTAACGAATTAATGTCAGACAATTTGGATAAGGGGATGTGATTAAATCGTTTAAAGCGGAATGATTATCCCATGAATTTCACGATTCGATGAACAAAATCTACCCCTAACATTATTTGGGACAAGAGACTTCTTTATTAACCTTTGCTAAACCATGGTTGTATTTTTATTGCTCTTTTCTTTTTATTTTTTTAACGAATGGAAACAACATTTGGTTCATAGATATCTTCTATACACCAATCGTTAGTTCGTTCTTGCTTTTATCTTGTAAAATGTAATACTTATGAATGTTTTTGGGCCAAACTTGAAAAAAGGATAAAGACGCGAGACAATATTAGCACCGGAAACAAACAAGACATTACTTTTCTCTCTTTTCACTTTCGTGTTTACCTGAGTGCTTCCCCCAAAAATCGTTCCAAACTATATTAGCGACATATTGAATTATTTACTGATGAAATAGCATATTGAATGACTTAGATTATTGTGAATACATTTATATCTTTGAAAGAACAAAATAATTCGCTTATATTTGTGTGGACAGAAAATATAATTTCCCTTGAGAATTATATCATCAGTTCTGCTCAGAAAACAAATGGTTTAGTCTTCTTCATTGTAAAGAAAAAGGAAGATATTGCTATTTTGGCGGTGGGATTAATGTTCTCTTATACCACAACATGTTCAGAATGTGAGGAACGTGTTTTGAAATCGTTACGTAGAAGGTGTAGAACTTTTGTTAAATAATAAAACGTGTCCATTTTCTGTTTTTTTGACAATGCAGGAAGTATGAAGCGTATAATAATCTGCAAACAAACCAAAAAGTCTAGATTAATTACGCAAAAAGCAAAAAAGTAATGACATCACGTTTTCTATCATAGTCCCAACTATAGTGCCAAGCTAAACATTTTTTTTTCTTTGTAAAAGTTTTGTCGCAGTTGTATATTGGCGGTTTAAACAATTATGTGTAAATTTCACTAGATTCTGAAAGAACTCGATTTTTTGTCATTACCAGAACTTAAATCGGGATTTGATATGTGATTATATCTCGAGTGTGAACGGGTCATCGTGGGACTGATAATATCATGTACACCTGTTAAGACGTGGTAAACTAGGTGTGAACTGGCGCCTCATAGGTGACGTGTAAATCCTCTACAGGATTCACGCTCAACCAATCATCATCCGCTATCTTACTTTAACCCTTCACCTCCCATCAACTCACACACTGCTTATCATGGTTGTAGAAATCAACATCAGAAGAGATGGAAGGGGGTAACTGACATTGGTATTACCCATATGAAGCATTGTCTGCGAAACGCCGGTCAGTCTTGAGCACACTGTGCCGGACGTATTCGCGAAACTGATACTATAGGTTTGGTGGCGGTTTCGAACGGGTTAAGAAGTCTCATGACACCGTGCAGGGTGTGCGGGCAAATCTTGCGATCTTTCCTCTCCAACATGAAATCAATAAGATGGCGGGAGAATAGAGGGGCTTCTATTACATCTCTGTTTAAGCTTCATGATCACTGCATTATATTTGAATAATGCACAGATCAGGCTACAGTAAAGGCGAGTAGGGCTACATCGAGGAATCCCCGAGGTTCTCGCAATGACAACTCATGCAGAAAGTACTTGAAAGTTTATAGCGAATAAGCTTTCTTGTCGCATAATTTTAAAAGACTTAACAACTTCAAGTAGGAAATTTTTTATTTAAACAATTTCACCTGCCATATAACATAGCTTAATATTGTAATGATACAGCAATCATGAATACGCATTGGTAAAAGATAGCATCACTAGATAGAATATGATTTGTAGTAGAGGTTAATGAACTTACAAGAAATCATCGATGATATCGTCATGACCGAAAGTTGAGAAGACACGACGGAAGGTGAGAGATACGATACCAACCTGTCAGAAAAAACATAAACATAAAGACAATAGGTTAATATACAGCTTTCACAATTCTTCTTTGGGATATTGGGGGCTATCACGAAAACATTAATATTATGGGTTAATATGGAATACGAAAAATGTTTTCTGGGGGACCATTGATCTAACGCTATAGGCAAGAATGAGAAATGAGATTGTAAGATTCAATGGAGAATTACCTTTAACATTTTCGGGCCACTTGATTGCATGAACAGCTTTCACATATATAATTTGAGAGTCAACTATTAAATTTACATTCCAATTTCATTCATGCGATCGGTCATGAGGTCCATTCCATGGGACCAAAATAAAAAATGTACCCATTTTGAACTTCAACATTTAAACTATTATTTCATGATTTATTACTATGGTGATACGAATTTTAAGAATAGAAGCAACCAGTTGTCAGTAACAACTTTATGTGGAATTATTTTTGTTTTCTGTTAAGGGATTCGTATAAAAGTTTACTTAGGTTAGGACCTTCTATAGAAAATATGTTGAAATGTAAACAAGGGTGTACAAAATATTTTGAGTATTCTGAAAACAGTACAAAAAATAACGAGAACTCTTGATAATGAATGATCGAATTATAGTTTCTAAACGGAATCAGGAGTAGAGCAGAGAAAAGGGGTCCTGTCTTTCACATCTCAGTCTTTCTCATTCTCTCATTCTTCATTAAATTTATCTCCAGGTCATCTTTTACATTTCGGACTGTTGCAGCAAAACATTATTAAAAAGCCTAATAAATGAAACCAAATTTGGAAAACAAACATCACCGCCACACCAGGCTGACGATAAGCATTCAAAAATGTGATTAGCCTCGAATGAAAATGGCAGAGATTTTGCCAAGCATGTGACTTGGGAAGACATTGAATGATTTAGTTAGTCATTCTAGCCTCCATTCCTGAATTCAATAATCGCAAGGTAGGTATCTTCTCGATCTGCTGGAGGGTTTGCTCGTCGTCTCGAAGGAAAGCTTAGATGAGAAACGATTATGACGGTAAGCCGCAAAAGAACCTCTAAAAATAACCCCGCGGCCTTGACAATGCTATTGAAAATGCATAATTTGAGTGGACAGATGGTACAAGGTTTACACATTAAATGTTGAAGTGAAATTCACCTTTACGTGCGTAGGGTTTCATATGAATTTCATGAGTGTCCCGGGCTGAAAGACACCTGCCTAAGCTATGCTATGGAATGTATATTGACACACACACACATCATCATCCCCATCCAACAGTACTTACATCTTGAACTTGGGAGTGATTTAAAAGGTTCTCCTTAGTTCTAATTGATTTGGTTGTACGTGGTTAGATGGTATCAATTAAAATAAATCACCCAGATATACATCGTAGTGTTTTTGTCATATGTAACATAATATAGTTATATAGTAGATAAAGAAATAACAATTGTTAGAAAATTTAACACCAAAACCTTGTTCAGTTGATTTTTTATTCCACTCATAATTTGGATAGCATTTATAGCGCAATTATGACTTCTCTTATCTAGAGAGAAACATGGAAATCACTAAAATGCTATACCAAGTAAGAGAAGTAGAAATATTGAAGTAAAACAAATTGGATTTTTGAATTCGGAGTAATCGAGATACAGTCAGCGAATGTTAAGATATTCTATGGCAAACCAAGGATACTACTTGATATAGATACATGATAATTACATCATTCAAGCAGACAATGACTTAGTCTAACAATGATACCGCATCAAAGCTACTCGGCCTCCATCTCATGGTTTAGATTCATTGGTTTTAGTGGTTATTCCACCACCAAGTACTCCAAGCATACCTTATCTTCCGAATTAGTATCTACCACTGACCACTACAGTGTCATTTAACCACTTGCAGTACACTTGATCATAACACATGATTGACGATGTGGCTTTTCTCTTTTCCTAGCTATATACCTCTAATCATTAGAGGATGCGTTTCTCTAAAATCCGGCACATTTCCCCTGTTTACCTGGTACAGAAAGAGATGGATGCATTATGTAGCGTGAGTGGATGATACACAATCCTTTGGGGTTTCAATGCTTAGATTGCATCACGAGAGCGGAATCTGCGTGATGGCTGAATAGGTGTCTCTATTAAAAACAGACCTAGTTATGACACCAGTCGTCTGTTTGCCGTACCTCGGACATGTTTACGCGATCAGGTGAATCATTTTCATCAGGAAAAGAATTCTCGTGTCGAAACTATGCAGTCGTTACCTGTATAATAGACTACTGCATTCTACATCTGTGTTATGTATTAAGCATTTTTTCTCTCAAAATAATGTATTCTTTTATCATACTGCACGGTCGGTGTATACATTATCGTTCAGTTACGGTCACATTTTAAAGTCACATTACACAAACAAGTTTATTCGAGCTTCCATCTTCTTACAATGAAAATGTATCTTATTCACAGACCAAGTATTACAGATTTGTTTACACCTGTAAGATGTTTTGCTATTTTTTGTTAAATTTGTATTTGTTGCGAGTCTCAAACAATGTTTCCCCCATTTGTGGTATACATATCGTCTACGCTGCTACATGATTCAACAACATGCATTGAGGTTTACTTTCTACAAAAGATTGCAGAAACGTCATAGTAATAGCGGCATGATGCATTCTTGTCAATAATATCTCGATCCACAGTACGTTAGTGCACTCTGTATTACAATGGGGGTAGTCGCTATTGCAAAAGGAAAATCTAAGTGTTTACAAGATATGGCATGTGTATGTCTTTCAACAGAAGAAGTGATTCAGCCAAACTCTCAAGAATACTTACCCTTCGGGAAGAAATTGTTTTGAAACCAAGTGCTATTTTTAATATGTGCTTGTACAATAATCGATGCTCGTAAGCATGAGTCTTATCCGTCCTCTTCTGACGTTTGCGTTCTCATTGAAATTTCCTTCCTTCCAAATTCTTCTTTTCCTAATCACTTCCCCTTATAAGAAAGAAAGAACACATACTATCACTTCACTTTAATATCAAAACATGTCTCGACTATTGCTTGGTGAAAATTATACGTTCCTTTCTTCGGTTGCTTTCTCGCATACAAGATTATATTCGTTTGGCAGAATAAATACAATGATCCCAATTCCTTTCCTTTGCATTATTGAGTGTCACTTTCTTTGTGTATTCTTTGGAACAGAGGAATGATCACTGCTAATTTTCTTTCTTTTTGTACTTCTCATTAAGGCGGATTGATAAACTTTCGTCTGTATCCAAGGTTGTTTTCTTTACCCCCTCCCACCCATTCCCCCTCTATCTCCCTCTCTATCTCCTCTATGTGTCATCATTACTGAGGAGAAAGAATTTATCACCTTCTCTCTGTATCATTGACCCCTCTTCGTCTCTCTCTTTCTCCTTCTCTCCTACTTTCCTACTCTCTCTCTTTCTCCTTCCCTCTCTCCCCTCTCTTCTCTTTATCTCTCTCTCTCCTTCTCGCGAGTCTTCCAGTAGTCTCTCTCTCTCTCTCCCTTTCTCTCTACCTCTTGTCATCTTGATAGTAAAGACGCTGATAACCAATAATAGACGAAGAAGGTATCTATACACCTTAACTTGAGCTTACTATTTCACACGATACTAGATGACGCAGGTAGGGGTGTATAGGTCACAGCTGGGTGTGTCCTCTGGTATCACATGCCGTGTCTCTCTGGGAGACCAGGTCAATGAAAGGCACCATACGACAGCATCGCTATCTTATCAACATAAAAACACCATCAGTTGTGGGTAAGGGGCCCGTCCTATACATAACAGTTCTCAACATTTTAATCTGTTTTACGTCTTAACAAGCAACCACCAATGTTCTAGATTTCAAGCATTTCTTTTTTTACATCACACTGACAATACCAAAAATGTGCTAAATTAAAAATCAACAATAATTGTATTATCATATAACAATTTTAAAATATTTATCAAGATTTAAGTTCCCTTTAAAAGACTACCCTCACTTGGTTGCAAGTTTATATGTAGAAATTTGTCATGCATGATGATGACAATAGTCTTATCAATTTTAGAGCTTCAAAATCATTAATCTCCTGCGTTGCAGGGTACAATAGCAACTCCTTGAAAATATATTTAATAACAAAATACAGATTACTATCGTTTTTTTAATTACTTTTCATGAATAACCAAAAAGTCATTATTCATGTATAGTTCAAGGGAAATATCAGAATGCGATGTGACCCTGTGTTCCGCTAGTGATTAGTCACTGACTAATTAATTAGGTAAAGCATTCCTGTTTCTCCAATGAATGAGAGTGAAAAATGGCAACAAAATAGATGGATGTCTTGCTAACATAGGTACAATACGCAATTTAATCTTGTTCAGATGTGCTTATAAATATCCCAATAGACCCAAGAATGTTATTGACAAATCCTTTTCATGAAATACAGTGTCATTCCAATAATAGACCCTATAATTTGATTAATGGAATTCATTTGCTGCAATTTGGCAGAGTGTATTTGCATTTCGAAATCATGCAAATACGATTGGCTTGGTAACGTAGGCATTTGGAAACAAATGGAGGCGATGAACAGGCCGAGTGATCACAAGCACACATCGTATGTCTATATGGAGACATTTAACGATATGTTTCATTCCGATAAGTAACTAAATTCTGTGAACATTAAACTGAATATATGTACATTTTGGGTTGATGGACAAATATTTGAAATTCATGCCGACATCTTCGCGGGTGTCATGATACTAGAAAAAAACACATAATGGTTGTTTGCGACGCATGTAAATACGCACTCTGCGCTTTATCAATAGAGGGAGATGGAGGAATATTGTTACTGGCCTGCTCTTGAGCTGTATCCAAGCTTCCTTTTGCCGACAGTAAAGATGATAGAACAATGAAATAACAATCTCCAAAATGGCCTTTGCAAATAAATGTGTGTATGTGGGCGTGCGTGTGATTGTGTGCGTGCGCGTGTGTGTGTTGTGTGTGTAAACGCGTATCAATCAGATATGATTATTTACGTCTGGGGGCGACCTATAACGTCACCATCCGAAAGACGTGGCTCAGTTTCGAACCGGGGTCCACCTGAGCCAGTTTGTAGGCGGAGACAGAGAGCTGACCAAGTGAACGTACCGACAGACCAACTCACATCTCCCTAACATCACATGTAACGACACGTGGAACCTCTTAATTTAAAGATGAAGTTGAGTTCTGGTCATGCGATTGCATTGTGAAAGAAACGGTGTGGAATCGACCAGAAAGGTTGATCATCTAGCATTTTAGAATTTGTGTGTATTGCAAGGTTCTGGAATCATCAAAATGATAAGAAATTTGGCCAAGTCTTGGTAAAGTTACAAACACTGTACACGGAAAGATGTATAAGGGACTACACGAACACGTGGCGTAAAAATCCTACCCGGATTTTTACAATGTTACATGAAATATTTAGGGTATAAAGGCATTTGAAGAGCCATGCTTTTTAGGGAACATGTCTTATATGATGCTCTTCCACACTTGCATAATACGAAAGATAACGCTCACAAATTATGTTTCACCTCTTCCCAGAACTCAACCTTCTCTTTAAGTCAAGCCATCTCATCCTGAGGACGTTCACATACAGAAAACATCATTCCATGATTAGATTCTCTACAACCTGTCACAACAGTGAACAGAAACAGAAAAGGTCTGTATATCCATTTAGTTATCTCTTTTAACGTTGATATCAAGTGTTTAGATGATCTCAGTAACTATGATATCAACTAACAAGTAAGAAATTTTCACACGTCATCTTATCTCAAGTCATGAAATAAAACTTGTGCGTTAAAGTTTCTTCTAAGTTTGGCGAAATATGTCACAGATTTCATGGATGTGAAAATAAATGTCCTTATTTCTGAAGAAATAGATACAATATATTCAGCAAGAGACTTATGATTTTTTTACTTTGCTTTTTAAACTCATAGTAATGAAAATGGCTTCCAGTGTTTTCATTTAAGTACGGATGAAAACAGGGATTGAAGACGATCGACATCTTTACATTAAAACTGATTTGAAGATTAAGCAAATCCATTGAATAAATCCATTAATCTAATTCGTAGATTGCTTGAATTACGGGTTGCCATGACAATTGAATCATGGAGCAACGCATTTTCATGATTCTCGGAGACATCTAAAGCTATATAACGTATTTTTTAATCGTTTTATTGTGGGTGTTTGTGGGTTACTGAATAGGAAGTTATATAACTATCATAAAAAGATGCCTTACTACATAGTGTTATTAACCTAAACAGATGCCAGCTGATGACAAATGACTACCCCGTTGAGTTTTTCTATCTTTTGATTACTTCATCAAAAATTGGATATCATGTTTTGCATGTTGCCATTCTGTTATTCATCGGCCTATTTGTATGCGCCCGCTTTCCTATTCATACCCGATCCTTCGCAAACAAGTTTCACTTCTACAAGGGCACACCCGCTACCCGTGAGAACAACACTTCACAGAAATGCCCTCTTTAAATAGCCGACAAAACAACAATAATAACAAGAGAGTCATGGTCATCCATGTCCCAGCGCACCGTCTGGATATGACAAAGTCAATTTGTGTAATGATGATGCTCCTTAACGACGTCCTAGATAGTGTTTGTACATGCACAGCAGTCTTGTAAGGCTGGCAACACCGTGCAATAATATCATCGGCTTCTGGAAGAACAGTGTCGAAAATGAGTTGACAACGCGCGGTGTGAAAAAAAACATGAAACTTACTATTCCTCACCGTTACGCCTGTATGCTTTCTCCCTTATTGCCTTCCTGGCTTGGTTTTTACGAAAAGGTCAAAATCTTCCAATATAGCTTGCTTGCGACGCAATAACATGTGCACGCCAAGGACCTGCATCATATCTAATATTTTACTAGTCAGAGACAAGGAAGAGAAGAAGTACATGAACTGTCCATGAAAAGTCATAGACCCGCTGTTTGTGTCTCGCAGAGCGATGGATATTAATAATGTTGCTTGCATGTGGTATGATGTATGCATATCTTTACTTCTCATTCACAAGCTGTTTGTTTATTTCGATTCGAATTTACTTAAAGTAATGCTAAGCAATATCTACTTACATTTACAAATGTGTAATGTAGAGTAATACATACGAACATGTTTTTCCAAGGGCTTGGATCACACAAAGGTTCAGTAAC